GATAGATAGATAGATAGATAGATAGATAGATAGATAGATAGATAGATAGATAGATAGATAGATAGATAGATAGATAGATAGATAGATAGATAGATAGATGGACAGATGGATGGATTGATTAATTGATTGATTGAATCTCACTCATTATTCTTGTCTTTTCATCCAGGGTTGCATCAGTGCTCAAAAGAATGGGCAGCTGCAGACCTCGCAAGCAGGACTATCTGCGGCAGAGAGGCGTCAGTTCTGCCAGTGGCCCTGCAAGTGTCGACAGAGACCGTATTGTTCTCCAGGGGTTAGCGCTGTGCTGGACGGCTGCGGCTGCTGCAAAACCTGTGCTAGGCAGATTGGAGAGTCGGGCAACGAGAGGGACGTCTGTGACCCGCACAAGGGCATGTTTTGTGACTTCTCAGCAGACCGGCCACGATTTGAGGTTGGAGTGTGTGCATGTGAGTCTGAACCTCTGAACATCTTTTTTAAATTTTTTTTTAATGATTTCATGTGGTTGATTCCTTCGCTTCAGAGCTGAGCATATACACACAAAAATAATGTGCTTGAAATGGGCTTCCAAAAAAGTGTGCTCAGTGTGCCAATAATTTGCATCAAGAATTTTTAACTTTTTATTGCAAACCTTTCTTAATGCGTAATACCCATTCTTCATTGTGTCACAGCTAACTTATCGTATTTACCCGACTATAAGTCCATCCGGAGTATAAGTCGCACCAGCCGGCTGTCAATATGAAAATAACATGTAAACAGTAACATGTAAATTTTCAGTGGTACAAGAGTATCAGATACTGGTACACTGGCCCAGAGTGCCCTCTAGCGGCTGTCAGTGTGAAAATAACAAACGTGAAATTATATATTTTATATATAAGTCGCACCTGATTATAAGTCGCAAACCCAGCCAAAGGCTGAAAAAAGTGTGACTTATAGTCCAGAAAATATGGTAAGTCTAGAGTGCAAGAAGACTCTCTTTTATGTCTACACCTTCCTCTCCTCCACTTCACTACCTTTTCCTTTGAGTAAAGATAAGGGGTCTCAAGCGTAAACTGTCTTCACATTTCTTTTACATTCTCTTCCTTGGTCAATCTTCTTGAAATTTTGTAAAAAGAAGCTTACTCTTTTTGGGCTGCACTTTGAGGATGCACCCAGGAGGGCAGAGGAGCTTTGGTGCCTGCTCAACACACCACAGTAATATTTGACAATTTGTCTTAACATTTTAGAGGAAGCTGAGCTACCTTTGCTGTCTCAGTGCAGGCACAGGAGCACAGTTACACATTCAAACTGGCCTCTGCCCCCCTACTAAAAATACATATTGTGATGTGTGCCCTAAAAATAGTTTTGGGGAAAAACAGCTGTGGATGAAAGTGAAAGTCACTAGATGGCAGCATTGCAGCACATTTACAGTAGTCCCTCGCTATTTCGTGGTTCATCTTTCACTGATTCACGACTTCGCGGGTTTTTGAAACTGTATATATAAAATATACTGTATCCCGGATTTTTTGGAAAAAAAGTCGACGACGTCCTGACTGCCTACAAGCTACTCTTCGACTGGAAAAAGAAGCAGCGGGAGCAACTGCCGATCACAATGTTTTTTGCAGCCTCGCAAAAAAGAGCCGGTTCTTGCTACTACTACGGATACACTTTCGGAAACCGTGGAAGAGGCGCCCCAAGAAATGGCACCACCCTCTGAAGATACGTAAAATCAATCATCGGCTGCGCAGTAAAAGTCATCATCATCATTTTACTGCGCATAAATATGGTGTCACTACTTCGCGGAAATTCAGTTCTCACAGCAGGCCTTGGAACCTATCTACCGCGATAAACGAGGGACCACTGTAATTAATCGTTGTACTCATACATTAGTTTGTACATAAAAATAAATATTACCTTATATTGGTATCGGTTGATATCAAAATTGGTGTGTTTGAACGAATATTGGTATCGGTTGATATCGGAATTGGTGTGTTTGGACAATATCGGCGTATCGGAAAAAAGTTAATATCGGACTTCCCTGATATATATTACTTATATATTTATGTAATCATTAATATGCATTGTCCCCTCTATTAATAAAAATGTCATCTTTTATTTTGCACATTGATGTAAATTGTATCACGACATCATACATCTTTCCTTCCAGACATGATGGCGGTGGGTTGCGATTTGAATGGCATGCACTATGAGAACGGGGAAGCCTTCCAGCCCAGCCCGCTCTACAAGTGCACGTGCATCGCTGGAGCAATCGGCTGCACCCCGGCGTTCATCCAGAAGCCTGCTGTTGCCTTAGGACCTGCTCCCCTGATGGGCAGTATGCCAGCTGGCCTCCGTAGCAGCCAAGGCCCAAAGAAGAAGCAGCAGCAGGACACTACCTACATGTCAGGTGTGTGCTCACAAAGTAAACGTTTGGAGAAGGGCAGGTCTGTCTGGCCTGCAATACTAACGGCCGTATGGGAGGGAAAAAAGGTAACAACGGAGGAGAAGTAAAACTTAAAGAGATCGTACTAGTAATACTCTGAGATGGCACTTTACTACGGTAGACGATAAACCGGTAACTGGTTTGGTTATCAATAAGTTCAGCTGGACTTGTGTTCCTTGAAGGTGTTCTCACCTCTCACCAAAGGCGCTTCCTTAGTTCTAACTCGGTAACTTGGAAAACTCGTGGTATGATATCGGATTAGAGCAGAGGGTCTAATTGTAGGGGAGCTCCCCCTAGGGGGATGCAGTGCCATGAAAGTGGTCATGGGTTCAAAAAATTGTGTTCAGTAGAAACTTGGATAGGATCAAAAGTCACAAAATTGGCTAGGTCTCGGTGAATCGGACAATGGACCGATAACTCTAGTCTTCCTAAACTTGCCTTTGTCCGAGTATGTTTTTTAAGAATCAATATAAAGTTTATTTGTAAAAAAAAAAAAAAACACTAAGAAAATTGCCCTATGGCTGACAGGCTAAGGCTAATTTTTTTTTTAATCCAGGCAAAATATACAGTGTAACCCCTAGATACGAGCTCACTCACTAAGAAAATTGCCCTATGGCTGACAATTTTTTGTCATAGCAATTTTTACAAGGCTAATTTTCTTTAATCCAGGCAAAATAGTGTAACCCCTAGATACGAGCTCACCGAAATACGATACGTTTTCCAAGTTACGAGTAAGCAACTATTGCAAGATTTCCCTCGTGATACGAGGAAACATCGAGCGTCGCGAGTGCTCAACTGAGCTCAGTCGCGCTGACTGTGCCTCACTTGGTTATTTTACTCGTCGCTTTATTTCTCTCTCTCCCTTTCCATCATCTGGATCGAAAATATGAATTTTCTCGCGTACCACTAGAGGGTGCTCACGTACCACTGGTGGTACGCGTACCAGAGTTTGAGAACCGCTGATCTAAATCCAGTGGCCCCGACACTGTCGCGCTATTTTACCCATTTTTATAACAATAATATAAAATGTTTTCTTAATTACTATTTTATATCATCAACATATTTGTTTATATCTATGTTTTTTGATGTTTAGATGGGGGCGGATTTAATTCAATTAATTAATAGGGGCTGGAACAAATTCATTGGTTATTTGTTATTTTTAATGGGGAAAATTCAACCCGTATCTATGGGTTCCACTCTACCAACAATTTAACAATAAATCAACAATAGACAACTCAGATAGAACGGAACTTTTGAAAAATCCAAATTATCCCTGCTATGTACAGCATAGTGCAACAGGAATAGTCCTTAAAAAAAAACAAACAGGCAAATCGATTACTCGGGGTGTTGTCGACACAATGCCCTTTAACTGTAACACTGACAGCTTACAGGGATCATCCTTTAGCCTGGAAGAACAACTGCCTGATCCAGACGACGCCCTGGAGTCCCTGCTCTAAAACCTGTGGGGTGGGCATCTCTGTGCGCGTCAACAACAACAACAGCAAGTGTGAAATGAGAAAGGACCGCCGCCTGTGTCTGTTACGGCCGTGCGAGAAGAGAGTGCTCAGAGGCGTCAAGGTGAGGCAAAGAAAGGATATACTGATTTACACTGACACTTTTTTGTTTTTAATGAATCGTGTAGACCCCCATGTGTCAAACTCAAGGCCCGCGGGCCAAATGAGGCCCGCCCGAAAAAGTTTGTATGGACCGCAAGTCGATGCAGAAGTGTTTCTTAACCTCATAATTTTCTATGACCCTTCAAAATAAACTGTATTACTGATATGCCCCCCCCCCCGTCGGTGAAAATGAGTTTGACACCCCTGCTATATATTGTTTATATCACATACGTCAAACTCAAGGCCCGCAGGCCAAATGCGGCCCGCCAAATAATTTTGTGCGCCACACATGTACATTTGTAATTTGGATAAATAATAATCAATCGCAGAAACATCTAATATGTTACGGAGTAGTTGCATCTATACAGTCGTACAGTTAGCAGCCCCTTAAGGGGAACTGTATTGCTGATGTGCCCCCTCCTGGTAACAATTAGTTCAACATCCCCGATCTAGAGGCTGAACTATTTGAACTTTTACAACTGCCACCGACATGTCCCCCTACATTACATTCATCGGTGCTACATCATTACTGGTGCTGTGTTATTTTTCTTTCGTCTCTAGATGCCAAAGGGAAAGACATGCCAGCCCAAATTCCAGGCAAGAAAAGCAGAGAAGCTGACGCTGTCGGGCTGCAGCAGCACGAAGAAGTTCAAGCCCACCTACTGCGGCGTCTGCACGGACAAACGTTGCTGCACGCCCAACAAGTCCCGCATGATCAAGGTGGAATTCACCTGCAAAGCCGCCTCCAAAATCGTGTGGAAAATGCAGTGGATAACTTCCTGCGTTTGCCAGAGGAAGTGCAACGATCCCGACAACATGTTTTCCGACCTGCAGTTGCTCTAAGAGAGCTGCCGCACAAGGCCAGAGACTGATGCAGGGTAAGAGTCCTACTGCGTTGGACACAACGCTGAAAGTGAACCTTATTGTTTAGTTTAATTTATTACTCTTCAGGGGCCATGATGTCCCCATAGAGAATAAAGGCTGAATATTTCACATTAATTAATGGACGATAGGAAGAGGTAATTTTCCGAACTATGATAAATCACGTCTTCGCAATATCGACTAGGATACGGATATATTCATAGTTCATTAAATAGACTTAGGGTTTTGTATATACAGGTAAATAGAATAGTTTCTATTGTCTAAAGCAGTGTTTCTCAAATAGCGGGGCGCGCCCCACACGGGGTTAAGGTGTCGCAGGAGGGTAGGGGATAAGAGGGCGAGAGGAGAATTTCAGTATGCTTTATTTTTTATTTATGCTTGAGTGACGAACAAGCCTCCACTCAGTGCCACTAGATGGCAGCAGAGCAGGTTGTATTAATCTATTTTGATAATCAGGGGATTGTATGCAGAATGCTGTGGAATACAGTGGTTTGTACAGATAAATAAATATTACCAGGCGCTCAATATTAATATTTTAAGGGGGGGGGGCGTGAAAAAACTTTTGTCCCCTAGGGGGAGGCATGGCAGATCATAGGGTGCTGTATGTGTCAGTAGATGTGTTTTTTTTAACTGAGCCAGAAATAAAGAATTATAAACAAACGTTATTGAAGCACTTTTTCACCTAAGGTCGGTGAAGTCTCATCAGTGGAGAGTTCCGGAAAAACCTGAGACAGTTGCCGTTACTGTCAATAAAATTTTTTACACCGACTGACTGTTCTCTCGTGACTTTACTGATGGCCACTGGTTGAAAAATTATTTCCCGTTCTGAGCGAGTATTACTGTCGTTGTGCCATGTAAAAGCATGGCCTGTAGAGCTAAATCAACATGCAGCTTAGGGGTGTCAAACATACGGCCCGCAAAAATCTGGCCACTAGGGAGTTCAATCTGGCCCACATGATGAATTTTGAAAGTTAAAAAATGAATTTAACACCACTGATCTAGTTGTTAGCATTTACTCGAAGTATTCACTCTGACCACAAAAGCAAAAAAAAAAAAAAATTAGTCTTTGAAAGTGTCTGACAGATGCAACTTACACATACATTCCCCTTCAATCGACTTTCTGTAATTCTGCTGTAATGGGCTAAACTCCAGAAGTTTCAATCATGGAGTTCTGCCTTAATGATTCAGAATTGTTTTTTAAAAATACGCCAACAGTGCAACCTAGTGGCGACATTGAAAACGTTGTTATAAACGACTTCCTGCATAGTCTGGGCAGTTAAAAAACCACGTAGGACTTGGTCAGAGACAAGAACGAGACAATTCTTAATTATGATTATTTTGTTAAGTGACTAAAAATTTCAATCTTTATATCAGATTTAACTGAATTTAACTGAGACAAAAATGTAAACTTTTAGGCATCCATTAAATTGCATGCAGGTTCAAGAGAGAATCACCATTGCTAATGTAGTGAACTGACAAACCTAAAAAAAAAAAAATTCAAATTCATTCATACTCTCCATACACTTAAATTCCGATTCCGATATCAATGATACTGACATATGTAGCCGTTTGCAACGACAACAATTAACATTCACTTCAAAAAAATATTTTGGTCACATCATCCGGACGAAACGCGAAAGTTGTGTTTTTATTATCGGAGGAAAAAACCAATAATGATTATTGCCGATATTAAATAATTATGCTAATACTGTATATTAATACCAGCGTAATAATAATAAAAAACCCCGCAAGAAATCTTTCAGTACTCTGCTGCTGTTAAAAAGTGTTTATTACCAGGCATATCAAAAACAAAAAGGTGCAAGCTGTTATGAAAATGTGTGAAAAGTGTTGAGTTTTGATTGATGAGGAGGGTGTTACCTAGAACAGCTAACAATTCTCAATTGGCAGAGCTTCAGTTTGTAAAGTCCTTCATTATGTTGGGGGTGGTGAACGACAAAGACCATAGCCTTGTCTTCGCCTTGGAAATGGGAATTGTGTTGTGTTATAATAATAGGTACAGTCTACAATTCTTATACGTTTAATGCTACGTAATGGTAGGTGTTTCTAGTTTATTAGACAGACGGTGAAGAAGGTGGTTGTTCCTTAACCCTATGATCTCTTTGCTAGAGAGTTAGATTTGCATTTACTTTTATTGACTTTACAGTTGGCTCTGTTAAATCTCTGTACTAGGTCTAAAAGCTTTAATGGTTATACAGAAATATCGGTAGATACTTTCCTCTAGGTAGTGCTGAATTTCTGCATTGTACGATGGTATGACACTGACCTTTTATACGATATAACCAAGAGTTATAGCTAGGATTTTTTTAAGAGCAAAAATGTCCGTCAATATAACAACTAGATTTGACCTGAGAGAGCCGGGGGCCATCTTTTGAATCCGGCCCGCCAAACTTTTCCAAATGATATAATTTATTTATATTATCATTATATTTCTGCCTTTTCCCTGCAATACCCAGGTTTCCCCAATAGATGGCGTAAGGAAATAGATAAAAGTATTTTAGCATTTTAGTCTTTAGGCATGACTTTTACATGTCATTTATCTTAGTTCACACTAACGTTTCATCTATCTGCTCTTGACCCGCCCCCGCATCCTCTGTTCAATTTTAGGACAATTGTGGCCAAAAAGTTTGCCCAAGCCAGGGTTAAAGGGTTAAACTTGGCCAAATCCCTGTATTAAAAAAAGTTCTTTTAAAAATCTGTTTTTTTTTCTATGTCAGAGAAGAAAACACAGACAAAAGAAAAATCTTGAGACTAACTGGATTATTTGGAATGCTTTGGATTAACTCTGGGTTTAAGAATAAGTTCGTCAAGTTTTAGGGATGAATAAAAAAAAAACAACTTAAAGACAGACAAAAAAAGTCGACAACTCCTGTTTTTATGTTAGGGATTTTAAAAAAGTGAAAGTTTTTTTTTTTTTTTTATGTATTTGGTCAGTACTGATTTTAGTGAAGTGCTATGCTGCAGGACAACTTCCAACACTGACAGAGCCACTGACAACGGCAGCTTTACTCAACGTCACAGCGCCTTTGTTAATGGCAAGGTGTCTCATGCAGCCTACGTAGGCCGCACTGATGGGGATTCTATCTCGAGAGGAAGGATCTGGAAGGAGATAGGAGTGTCAGCATGGAATTGTACTGCAGGCGGAAAACATCCAGAACAAGCCTTGTTCTTGACTTACCTGGAGCTCCAATGAACACTTGATTTCTGCTATCGACCGGATTGGGATTTAGAGGACCCACCACGTGGTTGACCTCGGAGTCCACATTCAACTGGACAACGCTGGCATCTCGGATCACTGATGAAGAACGAGGTGAAAAGATATATAAAAAATATGCTTCTGAGAATTTAAAATGTCATAAACAGAAGCTGTCGTTACTAAGACTGTCAGCGCGGGGTGTTTAAATACAGTAGAAGCTGTCGTTACTAAGACTGTCAGCACGGGGTGTTTAAATACAGTGTTCCCCTCTCTATATTGTGGTTCTCCTTTCGCTCCCTCAATACATCGCAAATTTTTTACATCGCGGAATTCTCACTATATTGCGAAATATAGCAACAAATAAACTAAAAGACATTATAAAATAATTATACACATGAGTTTTGGCTTTAAAAATGTGGATTCTCGTTTTGAAATTGAGATAAGCGCATTTGCGATAGTAGCTTTGTTTACCTGGACGAGATGGTACACAGCATACTATTGGCTAATACAATGCGTACTCGGCTAATTGAGCATGCTCTTTTGTTCCTCACGCTGATTGGCTCATCTAAGGCCTGTAAGCAGGAATAGACTCACCTGTAATTCTGTGCCAGGCTCCACCACAAAGACTCTGTTTAGGAGTAACCTTGGTGAAAAAGTCACTGGTTCCCTCCTTTACGTGAAACACGACCTGGAATCGACACATTATTTATTGAGTTGGCTTTTGCTAAGACGGCCAAAAATTGTTTTGTTTTTTTTTCCAACTATGTAAGAACGTGGAAGACTTACAGCTCCGTGATGAATGTACATGATGACAAAACCCTCTGCCGAGTGGACATGCATTAGCACAGCTGATGCCACACGGGGGCGCACCTCTACCGTCAGTTCAAATTTGAGGCCCAGGTCAAAAGTTTCATCTTTGAGACACAAGAAGAAGGGTTTGGGCCATGTGTGTGGAACAAAAAGATATGAGGCTCGCCAGACCACGTGACCATCAGCAAAATATATATGGCATATATATATATATATATATATTTGGATATATGGTCATATGGTAATTTAAAACATGTATTGATTCCGTCCTCATTGCATTTGTGTAAAGGCATACAAAATATATTTAATTGTTATTTGTTATAATTTTTTTTTAATAAAAAGGTTGAAAGTCAAATTTGAAGGTGAACTTTAAATTGACAGAACATTTGTAATAACAATGTACATTATTTATTACATTATTTATTAACACTGGAACCCCCCTCCGAACAATAAAAAATAACTAAATAACATTCAATATAATAAAGTGTATGCGGGTTTTTGTACGAACCAAATTGAGTCTTAAAAAAAAAATTAAAAGATCGTGTTATACACTTTAAAAAAAAAAAAAATTTAAAGGCTTACCAAGCACGATGTATCCCCCCTCCTGGGAGAAGTATGTTCCTGCCTCGGAGAGTCCATCAAAGCAAGGAGTGACGCCAACTGTCTTTGTCACTGAGGACAACAAGTGTCCATCCAGGTGAAGGCTCTTCAAACAGCCAGTGAAGCTGTAAACAGAATTTCTCTACAGGGAACAAAATATTAATAATGGATTCAAATAAGAGCACTTTGTAAAATTATCAATACCGTAATTTCCGGACTAAAAGTCGATATTTTTTTTCCACGCGCTTTAAATCAAAATCCCAAAACCTCTGCTTCATCGAACTCTTTGTACAGTACATACAGTGGGGCCTCAGGATACGAGTTTAATCCGTTGCACAAAATTTCGATTTATCATTTTCCCCATTCAAAATAACTAAGAACCAATGAATTTGTTCCAGCCCCCCATAAATATACTATGAATTAATTAAATAAACCCCACCCATCTAAACATCAAAAACATAGATATAATCAAATATATTGATAATATAAAATAATAATAATAAAGAAAACATTTTATGTTACTGTTATAAAAAATGGGTAAAATAACCAAGCGAGGGACGATAAGCGAGACAGCGTGACAGAGTGTCAGGGCCACTAAGGTAGGAGAAGGATTAGGAGTGGGGACTCAAATTAAGATGAGAGAGAGACAGAGAGAGACAGAGAGAGACAGAGAGACAGAGAGAAAGAGAGAGAGAGAGAGAGAGAGAGAGAACTAAGGCGAGTACAATAACCGAGTGACAGTGTCGAGCGGAAGAAATGGAGCTCGGTTGCGCACTCGTAACTCCCTGTTTCCTCGTATCTCATGGAAAATCTTGCAACAGTTGCTTACTCGTAACTCGGGAAACGTATTTCGTGCAGCTCGTATCTCGAGGCCCCACTGTATCATTTTAAAAAAAAGGGCACAATACTAAAATTTTATTGAGCTTAACATAACTTTTTACCTACCTGAATATTCTTCTGCGCTGTCCCAGCAGGAACTCCTCCGACATATAGCGGTGCGCTCACTTTCAAGGAGGCGTGGCCCTGCTGAATTCTCTCCTCCAGCACAGTGAGCCCGTCTATTATTAACTGTCCCCCGCTCGTATCACGGTTTAAAACAACCTTCAGAGGAGAAGACACACGGGGTCATGTGAGTAAGGACGTCCGAACAACAACAACAACGCGTCTGCGTACTGATCCAGGTGTGAGAGATGAGGCCAGGGCTTACGCTGTGCCACGCGCCGTCGTTATACTTCTCCTCGCTCTTAATTTTAACTCGTTTGTCGGCCGCATTAAAGGTGTATACCAGCTTCCCGTGCGC